TTTTCATGATCAAAAATAGTAGAGTCACTTGATTCTAATATTATAGTCCTGGATCTGCTCCCAGAGGAGACAGAAATGATACTGAGGACAAGACAGGTAAAGTGGCTAGATTAGAACATGTACATAGAGAATATCTGTTTTGGATATAATTGTGAGGACACTGAAAGATTCATTCTCAAGGTATCTAAAGGAAGGAATGATACCAAAGACATGGAAAAAATCCTGGACCTTATAGATACAAAACAAAAGAAACAGAGAACATCAATACATACCAATTCATAGGTCAGTAAACCTTTATAAGAATCACATATACACTGAGGGTATCACATCTTCAATGATAGTATTAGTAGAGAATGGTCAGGCTTTCTTAAGTGATATTCTATATTAGACTACATCTTTACCATCACACAATTGACTAAAAGATGTAGATCTTAGATGTAGATCTTTAGATGCTAGATCTCATTGGGTTTATTATCTCTTGATTATAAAAAAAATTGATTTTATAGAGCAAAATAGTACTTTAAAAGCTCTCTTCTAACAAGGTGCCTCTCATTTGAGATGTCTTGAAAGATATAATAGCAAAAATAATTTTGTTTGACAACCTTCTGATGCTAAACATCAGGCAAGGCATTAAACAAGGAGACATATGTTCATCAAAGATGTTCACCATAGTGACAGAGGAAATCTAGCACCTAGTCCAAGTTAAAGATTTTTCTATGAATAAAGAAGTCAACAAGTTACCAACAAGCATTTATTAAGTGACTACTACATGCCAGACAACGGAGGGGCTGGGCTCATGGGTGTAACATATAACAAATTAGAAACTTCAAAGAAGAGCAGAAGTAGTAGATGTCATCAGGGAAATATATCATTAGGGGAAAAAATGGGCTGGTCATGTGGCAAGGATGAAGAATAACAGTTGGGCATCAGGATTGCTGTGCTAGTATCCTCAAAGCATCAGGAAAGAGCAAAGACAGCCTCTAGGAAATAGATAGAACCTTGTATCAGAGGAGAATATGGACATAAGTCATGCAGGAGGAACAGGCGGGCACGAGGGGCAACCATTATCATTGGAGAGAACATTTAAATTGATGAGACTACAAACTATTTGAAAATTTGGGTATAAGGGAGTTCTACTGTTATTTTATTCTACCTACTTTAAAGTCATGTTTTATCTCTGGTTAGCTCTAAAGTGATTTTTCTAAGGTCTTTATGTTTAAAAAACAAAACAAAACTGAATGAATAAAATATATTTAACATTCCCCATTGGTCTGAGGTAGAGACAACTAAATCGTTCAGTGGATAGAGTGCTGGGCCTGGAGTCAGTAAGATCTAAGTTCAAATCTGGCCTCAGACACTTATCAGCTGTGTGGCCCTGTGAAAGTCACTTAACTTCAGTTTCCCTTAATCCATTGGAGAAGGAAATGGCAAACCATTCCAGTATCTTTGCTGAGAAAACCCCCTGGACAATATGGTTCACAAGGTCACAAAGATTTGAATATAACTGAATGACTGAACAACAACAATTGTGCTGAGGCAAGAAATCCCTGCCTAGATAAGGCCAGACATTTTAAGAGCTACATATATGAGTGTGTATCTGATATATACATGCATATATTTTTATTACAAAACAAAAACCTCCCTTAGCACCATTAGGTAATAAATAAATGTCTCGGATGCACAAGGAAATGGCTGTCTAGCCATCATCAGAGATTATTTATGGTACCAGAGTGGTGTTTGAATTTGGTAACGGAAGAAAGGATAAAATAGCTAGCAACATTTTTAGCATCTCACTAGAAACAACATCAGTAGAATAAAGATCTTTGCATGCTGATTCTGATGGACAGAAGTCCATTTATATTGGTCCACTCAAGATAGGGAATATTCACTCCTAGGGAGTGGCATGTAGGGAAGAACATAAAACATTTTCAGAAATATTGATATCTGATTTTTTTAAAATGTCCTGGCCTTTTACATTTCTTTTGGTGGAGAAAATTAAGTACTTATTCCCTTTTTTTAAAGAAAGAATATTTATTATATTACTATTACTTGTGTATGTGTCCTATCTCTCTTCCAGACTATAAGTTCCATGAGGGCAAGGACCATTTCTTCTTACTTAAACTTTGCCTCTCCCCTAGGTCTATTCACAGTGCTCAGCACATAGTAGGTGCTTAATATACATTTATTGAATAAATATCTGTGAGATTTTGGGATTCAAAAGAATACCATTGACTGGGTCCACCTTGCTAACTCACTCCTTAGAGGGAGTAGAAGAAGGTGACCACCTCCCATGGGAGTTGTATGGACTTAGTGATGAACCTTTCTGCCCATTGTATAACAGGCAAGCCAAACGGATCCTTTTGCAAGTTCTAGCCTTCTTTCCCTGCAAACATTTAGCAAATCATCTTTAAAAAGAAATTGCTTACGCTAGCCACTTATATGACTTACTTTCAAGCATTTCTCTATGACAATAACTTGCCAAGGGGAGGCTGGCAACAATTCTTTGTAGCCTGGTGTATTTGGCTCTTTCTTTATAAGACTGTTTTACAGCTAAATGGCTCAATGAGATTTCAGACATACCCATCCTTAAATGGCATCTACAATTCTTCTCCCCCCAAGAACCCCAGGTGGAACTAGGCACAGTAGAAAGGGCAGAAGATGAAGCTGTTCTTAAAATAAAATTGTCAGGATAAAGGTGGGGAAAGCTCCTGTTTTTCCATTACTAGTGCCTTTGCAGAGAGAAATTTCAAGCACATCCCACCATGCAGATAGTTTTATTGACAAGGAAAAATGGATGGATCTCTCTCCTCTATCCCCTCCCGCTGTTACACACCATTGTTTCAGCCAGTGATGTTTTGTTTACTTTGGAATGAAACATTTTACCCCCTCAGAGATAATTAATTTTTGTCAGCTTCCCTGTTTATGAGGGAAACTGAGAAACTGTTAATTGAAATACAGCATGAGTCACTGTTTTCACTGATTTTTGGCAGCATCCTAATTTATGTCAATCTCAGCCTAATGATTAGATTTTTTTTTTCTCTTTTGAGCAGGGAGTAAATTTGATTTTCTTTTTTTTCTTTCTTTTTTTTCCTCCCTTTTCTTTTTTAACATATGCTTCATGACACAGGCTGTACTGATTTCTGTTGCTGTGGACAGAAATACCAATACACTCAGGTTCCATAGAGGTTTAACACGGCGTCATGGTTGGCTATTCACAGCAGTTCGATATTTAAAAAAGCTAACAGAGTGCAAGCTTCCTCTTTGCCTTTCCTTCCTCCCTCTCCCCCAACCAGAAAATGAGATGCTTTTAAAGCCCTTTCAACTAGTATTAAGCCACAGTATATGGCCCAGCACTAATGACATCACTGAAGTGAACTTCCCAGAAGCCATTAAGAGGAATTCATTTGGAAAACCAATTGAATGTCACCAGTGAAGGGCAGGGTTTTATAATAGCTGACCAGTCATGCATGCCTGTGGTATTTGTTGTTAAAACATTAATCACGGTAGACTCATTTACTTCTAATGCGAATGTACTACATGATTCCACAGGAATACCATTGCCAATGACCATTAATGTACAAAACGGAAACTGTTAACTGCAGGCAGGGTTCATAAAACCTGTTAGATCAATGGCAAGTATAATGGGAGAGTTAATGGTTCTTAATAGAACTTGACTCCTTTTGGCTTTCTCTCAAGAGTGAGGAACTCCATGGGCTTACAGGTAGCTGAGTTGGGGGGTGGGAGTGGAGGGTGGCAGCAATGTCTTGATTTCGGAGGTCCCTTGGTTAAATAGAGAGTTGACTTTATTTGATGGAAAATGAGTATGGTACAGTGTCATAAGATCTGGGTTCCAATTCAGGCTTGAACACTTAACTATCTATCACCTTACTCAAGCCATTTCACTTTATTTTGGTTCCAGTTCCCCCATTTGTAAAACAATATCTTATAAGACTACTCCTTAGTCCAAATCAGAGACAGTGTGTTGCAGTGAACAGAACACTGTGAGCTTATTGAATTCAAATATTGATGCTGCCACTTACTACCTGGGTGACTTAGGGCAAATACTTCTTCTCTCTGGGCTACAGTTTCCTCATATGTACAATAAGGGAATTTGACTAAATGGCCTTACCTTTTCAGGTCAATACCTATGGAACTATAATGTGTTGTGTCTCCCAAGCAATGTAATGGTCAAATAGAGCCAAGATGATATAGTGGAAAGGACAGGAAACTTGGAGTTGAAGACCTAGGTGTGAATCACTGCTCTAACACTTATGAACTGTGTCACCTTTGGCAAGAGACCTCTCTGAGCCTTTTTCCTCATCTCTAAATTGGTTCCTTGTGCTCTCCACCTCACAGGGTTGTTGTGAAGAAAGAGTTACGTATTACTATATAGAAGAAACGGTCCCTACTTCAAAGAGTCTAACCTGGTTGAGGAGGCAAGATGTAAACATGAAATGATTATAGAACAATTCAGTGGTTAGACTGTGGGGTACAGATTTTAAGTGTTAGAGAAGGGAGAGATCGAAATGGAATGGAGTGGTCAGAGAAGACTTAATGGACAAAATGGAATTCTTGTTTGTTCCTGGGAATAATGGACTTACATGTGAATAACTGGGGTGATAGGTGAATAGTATCAAAGGAAAGAGTATAAGTAAATATATGGAGGTGGGAATGTACATGGCATGTCCAAAAGTCAGTGAGGAGACAGGCCTTGATGGAGCAAAGCTGTTTGGGTCATAAGGTTGAGGAGATAGCGTGGGGCCTTATCCAGAGGGACCTCAAGAGCCGGGCAATTGAACATGGTTTGATCCTTCAACAGATCCATTGTGGATTCTTAAGCCAGAGAATGATGTGGTCAAATGGGGTGTTTTGAAGACTTATGTCAAACAGCTGAATGAAGTATGGGTTGAATGGCAGAAAGATGATTATAAAAATTCAGTTCAATTCAAATCATCATGTTCCTTCAGCTTCTGTACTAATCCCTTCTTTTTCTTCCCTAGCACACTGCTGTGTTGCCTTTTTCCCTGATAGAGGCCATTCTCAATCCACATCGGTATCCATCCAAGAAAAAAGGGCTCACTTTATTAGGCTGTGCTGCCATTGCCTACATCTGCTGGTAAGAACCTCAAGAAGGAAGCCTTGGGAATTTCTTTGAATGACTAATGCCCACATTTAACTCTAATACACTAGAGTAGGGATGCACTATTGCACTAGAACTCTCTTTATCCACTATGACTCTTACCTCTAGGCTAAGAGAATGTAAGCCGCTGCTGAATTTTCAGTCAAGGAGGATTTTAATTATGAGACCCAGAAAAACAACTCGACATGTACTGCCTCTCAATCCTAGGCATGCTCCCTCTTTCAAGCAGAATTAGTCATTTGAATGCTACAATTGTTATTTTCCTCCTATCCCATCAATCCCACCTTTTGCACATTGTCTCAGTTTGTAATTAAAATACTTTAATTGTTCAGAGAGCCAAAGGCATCTAAACTTAGTCCATATAAAGCTTTCCCTGGAGTAGTTTGTGCTGGCTTTTGTTCATTCCTGTAGTCAGTTGTCATTGTGGGCTGATTTGCATGAACATCAGGCATGGAAGTTCCTAAGGGGCATGTGATCATTTGCCCAGGAACCTGGCCACAGTGGGGAGAGGATTGAGGTTGTAGCTTACAGTATAGAGCAGAGGGGAAACAGCAATAGCTAGCTAAGAAGCTTCCTTTTCCAGCTGCCTTGAGGAGTCTTACCCCAAAAGCCACCAGCAATAGGAATGCAAGTCCATTTTGGCTACAACAATAATGTCAACATTCACATTCCACATTCCATTTAGACCCACGGGCTGGTTAACTTTTCTAATTCCTGGACAGTCTATTTTTCGGTGTGTGGATATAACAATCCTTTCCCTCTCTTCCTTCCATGCCATGTACCTCTCCAATGTGTCTCCACCATTCTGGTTCCTCTAATCCAAGTCATTTATGCTTACTGCTTTAGAATGCTCATCTAGTTAAGGGTACCTCCAATTTTCTCCCTCATTCTTCATTTTCAATTAAAAAATCTTGGTTCATAAAACACCAGACAAATTCATATGGACTAGCCATCATTAGGTGAAGTCTATGCCCTTTCAGGAGCCCCTCATTCCTATATTTTAAACCATGGTTCAGAAATCCAAACCAATCTCAGACATCTTAACCAGGTATTTACTTTTCAAACGTGCTTTTCTTTTCTTCCTTTCAACCAGTAGTGATGAAAACATCATCTGCATCCCTAATGTCTATAGTTTCTAGCCAAGAGGTTCATAATCCCTAGCAACGACTTCTAGATTCCTTTTGGCAATATCACTTGACCTCTACCCCTTTCCATTCCCTCTCCCCATGAGTCACCAGCAGTGAGGAGTGGCCACCAAGTTTGACAAATGTCAGATTCTCTAATGCATCCTAAATACATCCTCATATCTTGTCATCTCTATCTCCAAAATATTTGCACTACATATCCCATTCTCTCCAGTCACACAGCCACCACTCATGCCCTCCTCACCTTTCAGCTAGACCTTTGAAATGGGCTTTGGTCTCCTTGGCTCAAGTCTGTCCCCTCTCCAATCCAGTCTACAGACCTACCTATAGTTGAGGTCAGGGGAACAAATGGGGGCTAAGGTCCTTCTCAGCAGGGAGTAACCAACTCCTCATAACAGCTGACTAGCATGTATAAAGTACTTTAAAGTTTGCAAAGCACTTTACATCAGAGAGACCAACCTGTCCTTAGTTTAGACATTGGTGTTAATTGTCATCAGCAGAAACACAAACAGAGCTCTGTAAGCCACCACCAAATTTCTCTTGCTTTCCATAAGACCCTTAATCTTTTTAAATTATTATTATTGTTATTAGGTCATTGAGTCTTAATCCCAGAGAGGAAACATGACTTGCTCAAATTCACAAGGATAGTAGAAGAGCCATGACTAAAATTCAGGTCCTCTGACTCCAAATTCAATTATTTCTTGATGGAAAAAGTTATATTATCCTACCTTTCATCACACCAATCTCTTGGTTTTTTTTTTTCCTCTTATCAGAAAGCTCCCCTCTCTCTCATACATCTATCATTCTCTACTGGCTCTTTCCCATCAGCTTACAAATATACTTGGGTCTCCCCAGTGCTAAAAATAATTCCTTCCCTTGAATCTTCCTATAGCACCTTGCAACTGTCTTATCTATCAATTCACCTTCATAGCAAAACATCCTTAAAAACTAACTTATAACCAATGCTATCTATTCTCTCCTCGAATCCCCATTCCTTTCATTTTGACTTCTGTTCCTGCAACTCTTCCAAAATTATTCTTTCAAAGGTCACTAATGAACTCCAATTGCCAAACCCAGTGCCTTTTTTTTTTCCAGTTTCCATTCTCCTTGACTTTTCTGTAGTATTTAGCGTTGATGATCATCTCCTTCTACTATATGCTCTCTCCTTCCTTTGCTTCCAAGACACCAGCCAGTCTTTGCTGTCTGGTTCTGTCTCCTTCATTTGCCTTTGTCTTCACCCTTTTTAGAGGCTGGTTTCTCAGAGTCTTGTCCTCAGCTTCTCTTTGTGTTCTGTCCCTTTGCATTCTCATTGCTAGGTTACTCTTGCTAGGATCCCTCACAGCATCTTCCTTTGGGAACAGGAACTGAGGGCAGCTCAGCTGTGTCTGCAATTTAGATAAGCTATGCTAGACAGAATCTGGTGTTAAAGCTTTCACCATTGCTTGCTCTGTGTGTGTGTGGGGGGGGGTGCATGCGCACATTGTAGGGACCATTAGCAAGCAGTCAAAGAAGTCCCAAGCCTTTCTATTCCACCCGAACTCAATCACTGTTCTCACACAAAGATCATTACTATCCTCTAAGACCACAAGTTGCCTATGCCATGCTTTAATACCCTTAAAACCCTGGCCATCTTCATCCCTAACACCTGTCACCACATTGACTAGCAAATTTTTCCCTCACCTGATTTTAAGTTTCTTGAAGGGAGGGATGGTTTCACTTTTGTCTTCCTATTCTCAACAACCATCATTGTGCCTTAAACTGGTAAGTGCTTAATTAATGTTTTTGAATTGAATTGACTTGCATATTCCCTAACTTCCCGAAAACCTGAACTACCCCCTACTACTACCATTCCCCACTCCCAGTCTCCTGGTGAGAGTGCAGTCACAGAATTAAAGGGTTAGGAGGGATCTCAGGGGGCATCTTGTCTAATTCATACCCAAGCAAAGTGAGAAATAGCATGGTACAGTGGGAAAAGTGCCAGATTTGGAGTTGGAGGAACTGGTTCAAATCTTATCTCTTTCACTTTTTAGCTTTGTTAGGTTGGACAAGTCATTTGACCTCCCTCGGCCTCAGTTTCTTCATTTGTAAAATAAGGAGATTTTCCTATGATTGCTCAGGTCCCTTCCAGTGAATTCATAATCTTTAGGAATCTCTGCTACAATATACCTGAGAAGGTTGAACATCTAGCCTTTTCTTGAAAATCTCTAATGAGAGGGAACTCACTACCTCTCAAGGCAGGCCATTTACTTCCCCATCCTCCATCCTATCCCTACAAGTAAAAGCTATGGGGGGAATCTTTCTGTGTAAATAGCTATGACTATGCCTCTATCTCCTCCACATCCTAGTCTACTAATACTCATTCACTCCCATGGCATCTGAAGCTGACTTCCAAGTCTAGCTCTTCAGAGCTCAATCCTCTCTGCAATTCTGACTGCCTATAGGACATTTTTGCCTGCATGGCCTCTGAACACCTTAAACTCTACATGTCAACAAGATGAGAATATGCTTTTCTTCCTGACTTCAAAATTTTTGTCAGTAACACTACTGATTTCTGAAACCTTGGAATTAGCCTTGATTCCTCAATTGTCCTCACTTTTCAAATCTAACCAGTTATTGAATCTTGTTGATTCTCTCTCTGCCATCTATGTCCCATATGTCCCCCTCCTTTCTTTTACCACTACCACCACCTTAACGTAAGTTTTTATTACCATTCATTTTGGCCTATTGTAGCTTTTGAAAAGGTCTTCTCACCTCTGTGTCTTCCCCACTGCCATCCACCCTTCATACTTTTCACTCCACCTTTCTAATAGAATGGAATGGAAAAGTATCTATTAAATTCTGATCATGGTCCCAGCATTGCACTAAGCAATGCAAATACAAAAAGAGTCTCCCAGAGGCTCGCATTCCAGCTGGGAGAGATAATAAGTAATAAGGGAGCTCAGCTGCAGAATTCTTGCAATCTGTGGCAATGGCATTCCTCTACTCAAAACCTTGTAATGGCTCCATCCAGCCTCAGACACTTATTAGCTATGTGACCCTAGCCTTCAGTTTTCTTATTTGTAAAATGGGGATAATAATAACACCTACCTCCCAGAGTTGTTGTGGATAAAATGAGGTAATATTTGTAAAGAACTTTGCAAATGTTAAAGCTTTATGTAAATGCTAGCTATCGTATCATTTTTGTTATTGTTATTACCCAAACTCTTAGCCTGGCATTTGCAACCCTCAAGAATTTGGTGCCGCTGTATCTTTTCAGTCTCATATCATGTTGCTTCTTATAAATTATTATTATTAAAACTCTTTACTTGGCATTTGTGACCTGCTAGATGTTACTGGTGCCGCTGTCTTTCCAGGCTTATTTTATACTCCTCCTCATGTATTCTGTCCTTATTAAAACACACCTTGCATTTGCAACCTGGTGATTTTTCACATGCTGAACACTATGACTGAAATGGCTTCTCTGGCTCATTTACCTGTTGGATTCCTATGATCTTCCTTAAAGCCAAACACAAGAACTACCTCCTCCTAGAAACCTTCCTTCATCTAGTCAGTAGCAATCTTTTCTCCTTTGGATTTCACAGAACAGCATTTTTCTTGGGTCTGTCCTGGGCAATTATATTTTATTTTGTATTGTAGTTATTTATATGCACTTCATACCACCACCCTCTCCCTGCTAAATTGAGCTCCATAAGACCAGAAACCAGTGTTTTATCTAAGCTTTGAATCAATTCATTCATTCAACAAACAGTTATTGAGCACCTACTATGTGTAGACCACTGTGCTGGGCACAAAGTTTAAAAATGTTCAAGGGATTTTTGTGCAAGAAAGTAG